GTGGGGGGGGAAGGCCCTGGGTGCCCTCAGGCCTGTCCAGGGCACAGGGGTTTCAGGGGGTTGGGCCACTGTTGAGGCCTTGAGGGTAGGGGCATTGTGTCTGGAGTCATTCCTTCAGCTTGGTCCTGTGTCCTCAGCCACACTAGCCCCCTGGCCACAGGCGACTGTGACCTCCTGTCCACCCCTGAGCCAGCCAGACCTGCTCCCCATCCCGTAAGTAACCCCTTCCCCTCCAAGTCCCCCTCTCTACCCCTCACCTCCTTGGATTGGGGGCTTCTTTCCCCGTTGCCACCCCTCTTGCCCCAGAGCCCCGTCCCAGGCATGACCTCTGACTTTTGACTCTCAGGAGATCCCCACAGCCCCCCGGGGGCTCCCACCGAATGCCATCTGCTCGGCAGGACTCCGATGGCAGTAAGCTGGGCGGCCCGGGCCTGGGCTGGGCTGGCGGAGGGTGTGCCCATCTCTCCTGACTCGGTCTCCCTCTCGCCCTCTCTCTGTAGCCAACAGTGTGGCCAGCTATGAGAACGAGGGTGCGTCTGGGCCCCCGGGGCCGTGGGCAGGGAGGCTGGGCCCGGCCCGGGCTGTGCTGACCCCCTGTCCTTCCTCAGAGCCGGCCTGTGAGGATGAGGACGACGAGGAGGAGGACTATCACAACGAGGGCTACTTGTGAGTGGCCCGGGGGGAGGACGGGGCCGAGGCCGCGGCCCACGCTCACCCATCCCTGACTTTCCCTCAGAGTGGTGCTTCCTGACACTGTCCCGGCCACGGCCACGGCCACGTGCGCCGCCGTCCCAGCAGCTGCTGCGCCCAGCAGCCCCGGCCCCCGAGACAGCGCCTTCTCCAGTGAGTCGCCCGTCTGACCATCCAGCTTCTCCGCTACGGCCCCTTCGATCGCTCTCTCGCGTGTTTCTCTGATGCGGCCACTCCTCTGCCTTCTCTCTTCTCTTTTTCTAGAACCCTGTCCTTCAGGTAGTGGACTTCCTGCTCCGGTCTTCTGGACGCCTCCCTTTTTCTCTCCTCTCTGTCTCCTCCTTTTATTGTCTGCAAGAGTCCCTTGACTTTATTCCTCGCTGGCTCTGTTCCTGGACTGTCCTTTTATTTCATTTATTTCTCCTGTCGGAAAGCTCTTTCTTGATTCCTGAATGTCCCTTTTTCAGAGCTTCCTGTTCTTGTTCATGGAGGCAGTGTCACCTTGTAAATCCTGAAGGATATGGATTTTAGGTTCTCTTCTTTTGTCTTTGCTCTTTGGGAATTTTTCTTCTGCTTCCTGCATTGTCTCCGTTTCCTCTGAGCTGCTTTTCCCCCTTTGTTTCGGTCACATCCTGCCGTTAGGCGTTCTCCTCCGTGTCTGGTAATCTTCAGGGTTCTGTTACTCTCCTCCCTATACATGCCCTGGGCCTCCCTTCTCCACACCGGCTTCATCTGCCATCAGATTCCCAACTTGCCACCCACCCCTCTCCTGAGCTCCCAGCGTCTGTCCAAGTGCTTCTCTTCACCCATTCGCTTACTCATCCATGATCTTTACTGGGCGCCTCTGATATAGCAGCTAACGAGGGAGAGTCATGATAAAAAAGCTAACGTCACCGAGGACCTGCTCTGCCCGGCTAAGAGTTTCACGTGTCTGAGCTTGTTAACCCTCCCAGTTCCCTCCCTCGTGTACCTCGGCTACCCCGTCTGCCCGATGGCAGCGTTGATTTATTTAGCAGACGCTTGGCAGCACTTACTGCTTAATACACACTTAGTATTCACGGCGTTCGTCCTCCATGAGATGGGTAGTTCCTCATCCCATTTTACAGATGAGAAAACTGAGGCCCAGAGAGGTTGGGGAGCTTGTCTGAGGTCACGTGGCCAGTTAGTGATGGAACTGGATTTGAACCTGGGCCGTCTGGCTCCAAAGCCTGTCTTGTCCACACCCTCATGGAAACAAGTCAACACGTAAAAGAACAAGATCATATCAGTGACAAGATGTGCTACGAAGGGACTAGGACAAAAGTGGGAGCCAGGGCAGGCCTGGCTGGAGAGGAAGGGCCAACCCGGGCACGGCCCCTCTGACTGGGCCCAGCCCTGAGGGCCTCTCCCTCCACACATGCCACTCAGCCCCGCCACACAGCTGCCCAGGCCGGCGCTGCTGGTGTCTGCTGCCTCCTCTCTCCATCGCATTCCCTTTCACCAGATCTGGTCAGATCGCCCTGTTCTCTCCATGGCCATGGCCTGTGTTTGTCCTCCTTCAGGCCGTGGGCTGCGTGGTCCGAGCACCCTCCCTGCCTCCCTCTGGGCCGACTGTGGGGAGGTCTCCGGGCCTCTGTGCAGGAGTCTTGGCTGGTTTTGTTGAAAGTCTGGGCTGTGGCTGGGAACTCCGGGGCGTCTGCCCAGGGGCCCTGGGTAACGGCCGGGCTCCGTGCTCTTCTGTAGTGGAGTCGGGGGAGGACTATGTGAACGTTCCCGAGAGCGAGGAGAGTGCAGACGCGTCTCTGGGTGAGTGGCTGGTGCCCCCAGTGCCCTCCCTTCCCCTGGCCCGGCCCCCCCCCCCCACTGCCAGTGTGGCCGTGCCCACACGCCTTCTGTGGCTCTGTCCCCCTCGGTCTGGTGTCCTCTGCTCTCTGGCCCTCAGTGTGGCCTGCCCCTCGGGTGTGGCTGTCCCTCCTTCTGACCTGTCCCCACAGATGGGAGCCGGGAGTATGTGAACGTGTCCCAGGACCTGCAGCCCACTGTGAGGACTGAGCCCGGTGTGTGCTGGGGGACGGGCGGGAAATGGGGGGCTCCTTGGGTGGGGGGACAGTTTGTGAGGTGAAGACCGACCTCCCCTCCCCCTACAGCCACCTTGGCTTCCCAGGAGGCGGAGGAAGAGGATGCCCCAGATTATGAAAATCTGCAGGAGCTTCAATGAA